TACTTTACTTACGCATGTTACTCTCAGTGGAGCATAGGCCACCGACCAGTAATGTGGAAGGGAAGTTACAGAAAAATAGTTTATCCAGACGTTTTAACCAAATAAAAAAAACAAATTGATTGCATGAACTCTGCATAAGAATGACACTCCGACAAATCAAAGCATGCACATTCACAACGTTGTAAATTTGTAATTCAAGTGAAATATTTTGAAAACTTTTATTGATGTAATGTAAATTATACAAATAAATTATAGTTTGTTAAAGAGGGATTCAAGGATGTGTCAATGAACTTTATTCATCTTTTATTTTAGGAAACAAGCAAACAGTTTTATTCAAGATTTCTTTCAGTCAATTTATATTTCTATTAATTTAGTACTAACAAACTGAATTGTCAGATGGGATGTGGTGACGTTTCTGTAATTTATTCGTCTAATATCTGTATACAGTCTACTCTAAAAAGACATAGTTTATGCCTAAATCCGATGATGTAATATGACAATAAAGATTAAAACTAGATTGCAAGAACTGGGAATAAACACTGAATACTCCTGTCATAGGCAGTTAAACTGACGTCAACTTTTGCATTATATCAGTACCGTTTAAAGAACTATAAGATCAGAGAAAAATAAGCTGATAAGATTCACTATAGTTTTTTGTACTCTAAATTATTTAAACTGAGTCACTAGTTGCCGGTAGACTGTACATTCATGAGATTTTAATGATTTAAGAGATGTAACTTAGTGTTATCGAAATATAACACTACGATATTTATGCAAATATTTACATAATGGATGCAAAAAATATATATGTACCTAAAAAACTGTGGGATTTTATACGTCAAAATAGTTTTTATTGTAGCCAATTACTTTTTTTAATCAAGAAAAAAAAACTGATGAGTAGGCGACCATTACAAAATACCGACTATCGTTTAGTTCGACTGAATAATTCACTAACATAAACATTACTCAATTAACATGGGAATATAGAAGTGAAAAATTTCTAGTAATGAATTACACTTTCATGTGTTTATTTATTTTGATGAAAAAAATGAGACATTTTTAAAAGAAAATAAATGACATTACTTTTTTCGCTTCGTTATTTAGAAAGTAAAAAAAACAACATTTTTACCGAGATCATCTGATAACATGTCATGCTTATTTTTAAAATAGTTACGAGTTTTCAAATCTTTTTTTTCTTAATAGAAAATCTGTCATTTTTTTCAAAAACATTATAACCATTAGATGAAACTATTATTTGGAATAATTTAATCACGAGTCAGTTGAACTAAATATGAAATCACTCTTTAGACAATACATGAACGCGCTAAAACAAGACTTTTATTCGAGAGGAATTCTTCAATTCAATTCCTTTTTTAATTATAAAGTGATCTGAAACACTACACGATATGATTTGAAAAACCGTTGAAAGATAAAGAGCATGAATAGATATTTCGTCTGGGTACTTCTGTTAACTAAAAGATCCGTAAGCTTTAATTAGGAAGTGATATCACTTTTGAGACTGAATATTTCAGTGTAATTTTGATGAAATCCTTTTGATAAAAAGACTGATATTCTTATTACTAAAATTTAATTGCACTGAAATGTGCAATGTCATAGTAACCATATTTAGAATGGAACAATTCAAGAACAAGCATTAGGTATAATAGATACATAACTGAATGAAATTTGTTCGTCTTCATCATGTATATAAGTTTTCTGTCCAAAGTTTCTGTTCAAACATTATCAAGCTTTTAGTATACATGTTTTTCAAAGTTAGAACATTCTTAGATCTTTATTAATTCAAAGATGTAATATATTCATCATTAAGAGGAATCTTGACCACAGTTTTAGGAGTCGTAGAAATACGAGGTCAGTGTTTGGAATTAGTTGGCAGTTGAGTAGTAATAAATGCCATGTTTGTGCGGTCATTTGAAAGCCGACCAGACTATATACATCAAGTTCAAACGTGGCCACTAACTTAATTTATTTTTGCATGTCAAGAAGCGGGAGGTAGTAGTCAACAGGATTTTTTATGGTTTCCTGTTGTCTACCTTCAGTCACCTGATATCTCAAAATAATGTATTTAGTAATTAACAAGTAAAATCATTTTGAATAATAATCAACTTCTGAAACAATCAGTTGAGTAAGTCTGATTCTTCTTTTAAACTCCTATTCAAAATGCTGTAATATTCTACGTTGCATTTCTCCAGGTTACTGTTGTAGAATATTTCATAATCTGTTGTTTCACTCACCTAAATTATGCGTTACTTTCAAAATGATTAACATAATATATATATATATATATATATATATATATATATATACGTAACTGCATAACCGGCAAATTTTATTCATTAACCTCAATTTTTTTCATATCAAACAACCGTTTAAAAGCACTTTCCGAATATTTTTATTTTTTACATGTAGATAATTTTATTTACCTCAATCAGTTGTTCATGTATTCGAAATTCAGTTCGGCATATTAGTGCTACTATTGTTTCCCCATGTTGTTTCCTTTAGCCTGCAACATTCAAATTGTGCAGTTTTTTTAAAAAACTCGGAATTTATTTAGACTAAAAGTACATCATTAAATATTGGTCAAGTATATATATACATATATATTTTTTTTTCTAAAATCATCATAAAATCTAACTGAACATGAATTGTGAGCGTAAATTTCACACTGAGAAAAGTTATTTTCTTATCATTTCAATCAGTTCTTCAATTTTACTAAACAATTTTAGTATGTTAAAGAATAAATGTTTCTAAATTTATAAATTAACGAACTAGATGAATATATTCCTAACCATCATGTCATGAAAAAAATTATGTTAGTAAAGATAATAATTAAATTTAACGTGTTAATACATTTAGTTATTTTGAATACAATTTTCTGGTAAGATTGTAAATTTATGATTAATTATAGTAATACTTCAAATACAAAGGTGTTGCTGTGGTTTGACGTTTTCTGTCTTGTTCTTATTAACTGAATAAGACGTGTTATTTGATTCTAAATATCTGATGAAATGAATATTTCATATTATTACGTAGGTTACACATTTTTGAAACCGTGAATTGATCAGTGTTTACCCACCATTAGAGACCTGGAAGTACTGGACGGCCGTTTCGTCCTGGTATGGAACTCATCAGCCATACGCATCCATGACTCCTGCACCTAGCAAGATTCGAACCCTGTACCTTCAGTATTGTGCGCGAACGCCGGTATCTGACGGGAGTCGTGATTGCGCAATGCCACTGATGAGTCCCATACCAGGAAGAAACGGCCGTCTAGTGCTTCCAGGTTTCTAATGGTAGTCTAACATTGATCGATTGATGGTTTCAAAAATGTGTAACTTAACAATCTTCACAACCTTGTAATGAATATTATATAGGTGTTTAAATTTCTTAATACGTTCCAAAGAATTTGAGACGAAGCAGTGCAAGTGATATCGGGTATATTGATGACGTTACTGAATACTTCACAGTTAAAAACTTTCGAAATAATATAGTCTTTCATCGTTTCGTTAAGGCGGTAGCAGTTATCAATACCTTCACGAATTCATAATTTTGATTAAAAAACATTTGTAATTACTACGTTTATTAATATTTTATTGGCTTTTAATGGAATCGATCCCTATGTTTTCAGTTATGTAGAAAAATTGTAATCTAGCTTATTTAGGTAGATTGTTTGAAACTAGATGTAAACTAGAGAAATTTTCCGATAGTTTAGCATGATTTTCACTATCTTTCAAGTGAAAAAGTGTGGAGCCATTGGTAGATTTTTTGAAGCCTCTTCCCAACCAGGCGGATACATGTTCACGAACAGGTAAGGATAAACACCTCTTAGTATGGCCTATGTAACTAGCTTTACAAAAGCATTTGAGTTGGTATACACACATGTAGAAACCCAGTACCCACGACCTAATGAAGAATCCCTTACTAGGACGAAATTGCTATCCAGTGCTTCCTAGCTTTCATTGATGGTCTAGCTAAAATCGATTCGTGATTCCAAATTTGAAAATAATATCATCTTCATAAATTCACCTTACTAATTACAATAATGTGATCACTAATAACTAGATTTACGATGGATTTCCGGAGTTCTTATTAGAAGCTAAGACTAGTCCCAGTCTGATATGAAGCAGCTATCTCTACCACAGGCAACTGATGATGGATCGCCTGATGGTAGGCATAATTTGTTTATCATTAACACCCAGAGAGACCTAAATTTTAGTAATTTGAATTATTGTATTCACCCATTTTGACAAGTAGAACTAAGCTAATAGTTTATGAACCAGCAATAGTAAATTTTAGAAACAGACACTTTGTATCCGGGGTAAATAAACAATCTAATTCAGTTTTCATGTAACATTATTTACTAGTGTTAGTACGTTTCAGTAAGTTATTATAAATCTTATCCTAAGTAGACTTTACACTTATTATTTGTTAGTCAACGAATGAGTTATTATACTACAGTTATATTGTAAACATATCAAAATGAAGGGACTGCCATTCCAAACTTTCACTTCGAAAGAACAGAATGTCAAAAAATTTAATTCCTCTCAAATAACAACAGCAAGAAGTATTCTATTTTGTTTTAAGCATCCATTTAACACATTTTCGAAAAATGTCAGTGTAATTTGACGTTCAATATAATGAGCACTATCGACAGAAATGTTTTTTCATTCGACGTTAGAGAAAAGATACATTATATTTTGATTGAATGTTTCCTATTTGATCAAGAAGCTTTGAAAGAAAACAGTTGACATACAGATTAAATATGAGTAAATGACGACTGTCTCTCTTCACGTTGATCTAATAAAATTTCGGAAAACTGTCAAATAAACTAGAAACAGATGAAGTTTTGGAAAAAAAGTAGGTTTTAATGAGAGTTTGTTCTTCCTTCGAAAAATAATTTCCTCAGCTTATATCATACAACCTATAGTTTAGTGTCAATGGTATTTACGCTGAATATGATCACTGTTGACAAATTCGAGATTCTATGTATTAGTAGTAGTAGTAGTAGTAGTAGTAGTATTAGTAGTAGTAGTAGTAGTAGTAGTAGTAGTAGTAGTAGTAGTAGTAGTATTAGTAGTAGTAGTAGTAGTAGTAGTAGTAGTAGTAGTAGTAGTAGTAGTAGTAGTAGTAGTAGTAGTAGTAGTAGTAGTAGTAGTAGTAGTAGTAGTAGTAGTAGTAGTAGTAGTAGTAGTAGTAGTAGTAGTAGTAGTAGTAGTAGTAGTAGTAGTAGTAGTAGTAGTAGTAGTAGTAGTAGTAGTAGTAGTAGTAGTAGTAGTAGTAGTAGTAGTAGTAGTAGTAGTAGTAGTAGTAGTAGTAGTAGTAGTAGTAGTAGTAGTAGTAGTAGTAGTAGTAGTAGTAGTAGTAGTAGTAGTAGTAGTAGTAGTAGTAGTAGTAGTACAATTTATCACCAACTGTAGAAATTTCTGTCGAATTTGAACTTGAAATAAAAAGTAACTTTTTTAAACTGCCTTTTTATCGACTTTGTTATTAACTATATGAAGTGTAAAAAGTTGAAATGAAGCTGGTAATTCATACCATTCAATCTTTCATCAAGAAATTTGAAGACTTTGGGTTCAATCCTTGATGGTGTTGTGGTTCTAAACTACCGTGTTATTTGATGCTACAAAACAAAACAACAAATTTCAATCCACTTGTAATCAGTATTACGTTCAAATTCAACTAGTCAGCAAAAAACCAATTCATTAACGTGGATTTTACTAGATATATGAAATAAATAAGTTAAGTATTTTCATACTTTTCAAAATGATAGATGATTTTAAGTGTGTTAGCGTTTATTAAGACAGATGTTCATTGTATAGAATGTCATCTTATGTGCATTGATGCTAACAATTAGACAAAAGCTAAAACAAAGAGTTTGTTATTGAACAACTGATTTACATTTTGTGATTAATTTGATTGTCTGACTTTGTTTGCATGATGTGGTTGTTTACGATTAGTAAATAATAATTCAACAGAAAATAAAACTTTCAGTAAAAATGTACACAGTACGATCAACTAAAGCACATACGTTTATATGGTATCGACAGTAAGGACTGAACTCCATCAGTTCATATTTGGATCTGAGAATGTTGAAAAGAATAAATTTAAAACGAAGTTGGACTGAGACTACCTGTAAGATCCGGGACACACGTTTGCTGCCAATCAGTAGAATCATCAAAATAATTGTAGAGTGTTTACAAATTTTATAACAAAAGGCTCCCGAGGACAACTACTGACCAGTACAAAAATTAGTTTCACAATTATCTTCCAAACGATCTTAAATATGAGACGGATAGAATACTCAATAAACCGCCTTGTTTAAAACGTACAGTGTAGTAAAGGACAAATTTATCCTAAGAGTTTGTTAAACTATTATGAGCATTGTTATGAGCATTAACATAGGCTTATTTTTTCCGTTCGGCAACCATAAATAGGTTTTTTTTTATAAAAAAAGACTGAACGTTTGGTCACTATTAATTTCTAAAATAAAAATACAAAAGATTATGACGGCAATTTTCCGGTTGTTTAACTGTAATTTAATTGCAACTTTTTATCATAATGATATTGGAATAGAAAAAAAAGGTTAAACGACCGTTTAGTCATAAATAACAGTTTTTTACTCTTACACAGTAAGAAAAACTGTAGAGGAGGATAGGACAATCAATGCAACTTAATAATGCTATGTATTTTTTTAAAGGATTACCGTCATTTTGTTTATTTGAATGGCTCAATAACAACAATTAGTACGTCCCTAATTTTTCAAAAACTACAAAATGTTACCCGATTGATGAAAACAAAACAGAGAAACTGGTAGTATAAGAAAAATCTTTGTAACACTTTAAATGAATGAAGGTAAATAAATTATGACAGTTTTTCAATTAGAAACTGTCACATAAGTATTGATCTACACAAGAAAAAGATCTTATTTTTAACTTGTATGTAAAAACATTCAAAATTATATAAGAATTAAAAAGCTTGGTTTGAATGATATAAATGAATACTGTGTTATATCTCATCTCCATCTAGAGCCCTTTGATGATAACTGCTAGTCCTAAGCCGTAATAAATGAGAAAGAATGAGCATGGGATTAACAACGACAGCCCATAGAAAAACTTTAACCAGAACAAATAGTTTAATCCATTTATGCTCTGCCCTAAGATATGGAACGCCTTTATTCAGAAGAGTTGTAATTCCTCATGACAAAAGCGTTCTTTCTTTGGATGTCACAAAGTCGACACTTCATCTGAAAACCAGATCAACAATTTAAAAAAGTGCACGGAGTTTTCGAATAATGTGGGAGACCGGAAGAACTTTTCAATTTGCTGCAGGAATGAAACAGATCGCACGCAGACTGGAAAAAAGGTTGGCTTTGTGAGGGATGCTGTTGTACTTCGGTCATGAAGAGGGAAATGCCAAACACACAAGTAGTTGCACTGATGCTTTTCAAAGAATCACAAAAAGCAATTATAGGATTGGAATCTCATGGACCTAGGACTATCAAACATCCTTTGAGACAAAGAACGAAGTATAAGAATTACTGCGACTCTCTCACTCACTCAAGAAAATTCTTCGACAGAGTGTTTTTAAACCGACTGAAAGGTTCAGTATACGCCCATATGCGAAATCCGTAGACTTAGTTCCGAAAGTATAGATGAATTACCGACCAAATCATGACATTACGGATCATTCTAGAAAGATCAGTTGAATGGAATTCACCATTGTATATCTACTTTGATAGCTTGGATAGGAGAATATTATAGAAAACGTCTTCGATACTACAGGATATCTGTGAAGATAGTCAACAACATACGGAATGCAAATGATAGATGTGCGAAAAATCGTACATGCAGGGGAGCTTTCTGACTCGTTGCAAGTGAAAACCTGTATCAGACACGGTAGCTTACTCTCACGCTTCTTCCTTCTTCTTGTGGTTGAGTGGATTAAAAAAACGTCAGCGTTTGAGGGGAAGCACGGGATATAATGAACATCTAGGATGCAGCTGCACGATCTAGATATCGCAGATGATCTGACTCTTCTATCGCACAAGCAAAAACAAATGCGAGAAAATACGACCAGTATGGCGGCTGCCCCTGCAGCAGTAGGTTTCAACAAACGCAAAATTCTCCGATACAACACAACATGCACTAACCAAATCACAACTGATGGAGAAGTTCGGCGAGATGTCGAAACCCTTACATACGTAGGTAGCCTCATTGGTGAGTAAAGTAAATCTAATGCAGATGTGAATGCTCGGGTCGGCAAAGTAAAGGCTGCATTTCTACGAGTGAAGAACATCCGGAACTCAAAAACAACTGTCAGCAAACACCAAAGTCACAATATTCAATATAAATGTCAAGACAGTTCCAGTGTCTGGTGTGGAGACTTGGAGAAGCATAATAGCCGTCATCCAGAGGCTAAAAGTGTCGAATAACAGTTGTCTACGCAAAATACTTCCGATTAGTAGGCCAGACACTATCAACAATCGGGTGGAAATGGAAAGAAAGGCCCAGGACCGAATCGGTTGAAGAATACTGGTCAATAAATGTAGCAAGAATTATTTAGTAAGTACGCATGTTATATGTGAGATAGATCAGAAAGTTCATTATGATCTGTTGGATCTCAGCTAAATTGTCTCAAAGTGTAGTGGCTCCAACCAGACCAAGATATCAGGTTCAATGCTGAAAATATTGTTGTAAGTGAGCAATGTTGAAGAGTTTAAATTCCAAGCAGAATATTTATCAAACACTCCCAGATTTACAACACTTCCAAGCAAGATCAAATAATCAAATAAAAATATCTTCAATTTGTTCTGACTTTCTCACGATTATATGTGACAGCAATAATAATAATAATAATAATAATAATAACAATAATAATAATAATTAACAATCAAATAAAAATTATATGAATTTTAATCGAATTCATCTTGACACCAAAGCGTTTTTTGTTATTTTCACTAACTAACAGTTGGCCAGATAAAAATGAATTTTGTGAATGTGAAAATCGTCAAATTCAATTAAGGGTTAGACGTGTTGATTGAAATTCAATATGGCTGTTTAAATAACTAGTCAAGCATCTTTCACAAATTATAAAAATATAATATATTCTTTTATGAAGTAAAATGTAAGGATAGTTACCACAAATGAAGAAATAATCGTTACTTTTATTCATTTTACTGAATATTTTGTAAACGATGATCATAAAATAAAACATTAATATTATTTCTAGACCATCTGTTAAATTTGGACTAAAAATGGAAAGCGTTTGACTGTCCAAAATTTTCAATGAATTTTTATTTTGATAGAACAGTGAGAAGACGTAATTGATCTGAAAAATGTTGTGATGTATTTGCGCTCGATACACTTCGAACAAACTGGTCACACATATTTACTTGTCAAGGCATTTTATATGAAGATGAATAAAAGGTGATCAATTAAATAAAAGTTCAAATAGACATAAGGTGATAATTGTAAATAAAGGATAGAGAAAATTAACGCAATATGAAAAGAATAAGAAAAGATAGGAAAATTGTCACTTTACCCTAGGCTTAAAGATTACCAGGGTAAATTCAAGGTTATGACACCATCTCAAAATTGTTTCTGCACACATAAGGGGTGTTTGAATTTTATGTGTCTTGTAAATGAATAAATCACTTATAAATTAATTACTACCAATAATCATTTTTTTAACGTAACCAAAACACAAATTGTTTCTTCATAAATGAAATGGAAGCTGAATAATAAGAATCTACTTGTTATCGAACAAGTTCAGTGAATAAGTATTAAAAATACCCTGTCGCTAAAGTTATCATTTACATTGATCATTCTATAGAGAAGCTTCATCACTATACATAATTATTAATTACCTTGTGTAAATGTGGATAGAGAGATGACAAAACTATGAATTTAATCTATGCACATACATTTATATAGTTCGCTTTTTATCTTATTCTTCCCAAAGGAATAACACAAATGAGTAAACTTATCTTAAGTAGAGTAATATACATAAATACACCCAATGACTAAATGTTTACTAAAGAAATTCTACTTAGCATATTACTCTATTTTAGTTGGACAAAGAAATCATACTTGTGTCATTTGTTTGCTTTTTTTTGTAAATGCAAAAATAAACATTCAACTGAAGAATAGAACTTAAAGTTAAATGTTTAATCCCCGATAAACAATGTTTTGTTCATTTCAAATAATTAATTACCGCCTCAAGTAACCGGTTAGTTTAAAATGACGGATTGAACAGTGTAAGAAGTTAATGCAGATTCTTATTTACTGTATGAGTAATATTTATTACTTTAGTTTCATTAGAGAGTTTATGATTTAATTAAATAATGCTAAGCATTGGATTATGAAAATTATTTACTGTTTAAAATATTTTGAAAGAATTCGACTAGTTAATATTCCTAGTAAATATTTTGAAACATCTATATTTTTAAAAATATCTGTTTTTTTCCCGACAATATGATTGATATTAAGTTGTGAATGTTGTGTTGAGAGTATAATACTCGATTCATTTTGTGCGCGCATACACTTAACCAAGACATGAAAAAACAAAATTGAATGTGATATTATCGGATCTTACAAACTGGTGACGGTATTGTGAATTCAGTAATTTTTATTTGAAATTAATCCCTCAAAACTATTATGTGGAATGGTAATATTTTCCAGAAAAAAATAATTGGTTCTTACCACTCACTGTGCTTTATTTACGTAGGTGAAAAAAATGATCACTTCAATCAATAAGTCGGCTTTGCAAAAAATGTAGGGGTGAAAATTTCCTGCTTTTCTGACTACTACTTAACAACTTTCGAATCCGCTTAAATCTGAAAAGATTTCATTAATTAGCTGGGTTTTTTTCAATAGATATATCAGATAATTTCATCATACAACAGTATTAAATAGAATTTCCTACAATTTCAAACTTCATCAAATCACTTTTCCTCAGGGCGCCTTTTGAATACACGGCACAAAATAATGATGTTACAACTATGGCTATTAATCTATCGTTTGTAATTTGATCTCGAATTGCTCAAAAAAATAAAATCACTTCAATTTAACAGAGTAATTAATTTTCACAAAGCAGACTCCATATTTTTTTGTTTAGAAATTATTCAACTGTACAAATCTAAATAATAACTTACTGATAGTGTTACCGAAATCGGATTTCGAAAAATCCATGAATATTTTTTTTCCAAACATTCATTATTAGAATTAGAATCCACTTGATGAATTGATTGTATGAAATTTTATTTTTTTTTTTAAAAAATACTTGTTTCAATTGATTCTTGTTAGATAAATTGTTGGAAATTAAACGCGAGAATTATGATATCAATAAACTATTTACTGCATGATATATAGATATAATTTGCAAGCTTGAAAAAAGCTGGTCATTGGTTAAAATAATTTATGACAGTCTGATTGGTTAATATGAATGTATATCTACTTAGAAAATAATGAATTTATTTCATATGACGAGTGTTACGATAGAAAATTATCTGCTATCTATTTCATTCATTGTAGATGATCAGGCTAATGCGACGGCACTATCTTCGCTACTTAAGCTCTAGACCTTTATCTCCATTAGTTTTGTCCTTAATTCAGATGCAGTGATTGTAGAAGTTTAAGGAGTTCCCTAAAGTGTGTTCATTTGTATGAATAACATTATGAACTGGCTGTGGTGGGACAATTATTAAAAACCGCCCGTAAACACTGAATAGTTGATTTATTGTAGTGTGACATTTCTTCTTCTATAGTAAGCACCATACTGCCTTGACTTTTAGGTCTCTCAATACACCCCTAAAACTTTAGGCAGTTGAATCAGAATCTAATGGTTTACATTTTCGACTCCAACCAATTAGTGATATTGCTCAACCGTCCTCCAAACAATGCATCTACAATGTTTGAGGTTAGCTTCGCGATGTCATTGAATTGTCGATCAATAGAGGTAACAGCCAAATTGAAAGTGATTGCGTTTCGCACATTGACGCTACAGAAACTATATGATTACACAATAGCAAGGATAGCAACAATGTTGTTGCAATTAAAAACGATGTTTAAATAGTTGTTTTTGATACAAAGGGTATCCATTCAATATAGGTATTCTGAAGTCAGTCACGTTAAACGCAACTACATATCTTACATCAAAGGATTTTATTTTCGTGGTTGAACGCTTAATAGCTGCTTTTTTTTAAAAAGATTATGATAAATCACTTCAAAATCACATCTCTTACATGAAAATTTTTATTGATGGCAAACATGTTACACTGTTCGTTCCCAAATAAGCTGGTGTAAGCATTTTAAAAATTAAGTTTCATGAAAATCCTGCTTTATTTGTGAGCGCTGTTAACTTAATTGATATGTCTTTAGCTTTAGTCCATCATGTTTGCCATATATTAAAAATCACATCCTCATTTTAACTATCAAACTTACTGAAGCATAAACTACTACCGAAAAATTCAATAGTGTACCAGTCCCATAAAAAAATATTGGAAATTGTCTCTTTTAATAGGAATAAATTAATTATTGATTATTTTTCTCGAATATTTTGAATTATTTTCAAGGTGATCGTCGAAATAAATTATGGGATTGTATAAAGTATCATTTTTCCGACCTAAGTGAGTATTTTATAGTCATTTGCTTCAGATAAACAGTTTGACAGAAATTCAATAAAGTAGTGAAATTGTTTGTTTGATCTTGAAGGTTATTCGGCCTCAAAAGTGATTTAATTATTAACATTTTAGTGCGAAATACTTACTGATGTAGTACGCATAACTCAAGAACTAGATGTATTTCAACAAAAACAAACGATAGATGTCAAGCTTATAAAATTTAAGATATAGACTGATATATGTTAACTCCATGGTTTAACGAAACCTTAGGGTATTAATATAGAATAAATGGAATGTGGTTAGCAGTAGAATCCGGAACGCGCATTTCGTCCCATTTTTGGAAGTCGTCAGCTGGATGTACCTGCTGACCAAAGTTGATGTTTACTCCGGAATAATCCAAACCACTTCAAATTGAATTAAATCTCATGGTACTTAGTTTGATTTCAAACGGATTTATCTGTACACAATGGTTACCAGTTTTGACATAGTATAAAACAATGCTCTCCTGTTCAAAATGATTTATCAAATAAAGTCAGACCGTGACAAAAACGTAATCATCATTATATATATAACAGTTAACAATTTAAACTAACACAAATGATTCATTGACAATGATAAATGTTTCCCGACATTCTAATTCATTTCTATCCAACTTCAAAAACGTATCTTTTTTGTCTAAATTATTAGGCTCATCATGTGGAAAAAACTTGTACATTAATACATTTATTTAATGACTAAATTTCAGACTAATATTTATTACTATATTCTCGTCACATGGTCTCAATTAATCAATCATGTAAGTGAATGAGACTTTGAGAAGAGATAATTTTTTTGAATAAATATAATCCAATCTAAAAGGAAGTCCTTAAAAAATAAATGTATACACTAAAGGCTTGTCTAGCGGGAATGAAAATGGCTATAGCATGCCGCTTATCTTAAGAAATTCAAACTGCAAACTGTAATAATGATAATTATTTTTATTATTGGAATAGAATAAAATCTTAATCTAAAGTTCTGTTTATGTTTCTCAATTGATGCCATCTAGCACTATGATTTTTAAATTATTTTTTCTGGTTAGCGTTTTTTTGGCAAGTTAGTTTTAGTTGGGATGGGGGTGTAGTGCCTCCACAAATATTCCAGTTCGCTTGCATCTAACTTGGTTAAGCCCTTTAGATTAATTTATTTAACCAAACCATTTGTATTGCAACAGTGTATATGTACCATTCGTTCTTATTATTGTCTGTTTTGTATGAGCTCACATGACGTGTCCCACTTGTCAATTGACCTTGTCAATCATTCGTCGCTTTTATTCATGTGTGCCTATTTCGTTTGTTGCATGTCTGTCTTATATTTGTCTGACTATATATTCTTAGTCACGCTCTATCTCAGAGAGTTGGCCCAACAGCCTTCTCCAAAGCGCTCCTTCAGTTCACGTCACATCATTCGTCCTATTCGCTGCTTCGATCATTCTTTCGCACATTCGCTCGCCAGTGTACACTACAAATGATGATCCCGACGTCAACAAAAATGGTTACCACAGGGGCGCCAACCGCATGTCCAACCCCTCCTCCTTTATCCGGGCTTGGGACCGGCAGTAGCCCCAAAGGGACTACAGGCAGATGGGTGATCTGGACTTTGCAGATGATCTGGCTCTTCTATCGCACACGCAACAACAAATGCAAGAGAAGACGACCAGTGTAGCAGCAATCTCTGCAGCTGTAGGTCTCAAAATACCTGAAGGAAAAAGCGAAATTCTCCGATGGAACACAACATGCACCAACCAAATAACTCTTGATTGAGATTCCTTGGAGGATGTTAACACCTTTACATATCTTGGTAGCATCATCGACAATCAAGGTGGACCCGATGCAGAGGTGAGTTCGTGGATCGGCAAAGCAAGGGTTGCATTTCAACAATTGAAAAATATCTGGAACTCCGAACAAATATCAATCGACACCAAAATCAGAATTTTCAATACAAATGTCAAAACGGTTCTACTGTATGGAGCGGAAACTTGGAGAACTACGAAAGCCATCATCCAGAAGATACAAGTATATATGAACAGTTGTCTACACAAAATACTTTGTATTCAATGGCCAGACACGATCAGCAACAACGTACTGTGGATCAGAACAAACCAGATTGCAGTGGAGGAGGAAATGAGGAAGAAGCGGTGGAAGTGGATAGGACACACTTAGGAAAGCGCCGAACTGCGTCACGAAACAAGGCCACAAGGTCAAAGGAACAGTGGGAGACTATAAAACACATTACTCCCAGAAATATAGAGAGACATGAGAAGAATGAACGAAAATTGGACAGAATTGGAAAGGGAGGCCAAGGACAGAGTTGGTTGGAGAAATCTGGTGGTGGCCTATGCTCCGTTGGGGGTAACAGGCGAAAGTAAGTAAGTAAGTAAGCCACATGATTTTACACTTTTCTGAAGACAAAATGAACTGAACTGTTCGAAACAACTGATATATCTATATACACTGTGTTTCAATAATCTATTCATGTATACTGATCACCGAAGTCAGTCGACCACCACATAAATTCAAGTCCAAATCAAAATATCCAGGGAGAGCTTGTAAAAAACTTCCAACTATCCAATCTCTTTGTTCCAACCATTGAGAATTTCAATTCATTAATGAATGTCGTACATCTGCAGCGGGTAAAAATCTATCTTTTTCAAATTAATTTGTTAAAGGATTTTCTAAATCAAATCTCGACATGATACAAACCTGGAATATATATATTGAATAACTTTCAACAACCGAACACTTGAAGGATGTTGGACAACAAACAAAGTTTAGTAAATATAACAAATTTTTTTTCAGTGGCAAAAAGATAATATTTCGCTTTTAATTAAAAAAAGTAAATGCGTAAATTATTTGTGTATCAATTTGTAAAAGAAATACTTTGTAATTAATGATATTTGTTAAACCTAGTATGATACAAAAAAATTATGATAAGGTTTTGTATTAGTGTTGGACAAAAATTTATATCTAAAATTAAATCATTCAGTCTAGCCAAAGTTAATAAAGAAAATTTACTCAAGATACATAGTTGCTTTGCGAAATTGACACAATGGAATCTTAATCTAGTTTAAAAATATCTTTCCTTGTAAACATGAATTTCAAAGTATTTTATTAAACATTCCTGTTATTAGAATGCAACCTAAGGTTGTTGTATGCTTACGACAATGAATGCTGCTTTTAATCTAAAAAATGAATATTATATTGTAGATCATTAAACAGATTCTTTCAAATTAGAATTTCACAACATCCAGAACTGTTGACTTTCAAACAATACTTATTGAATGAAATGTAAACAAAAGTCCAATCCGAAATAATCAATAAGATTGTCTTATCTGTAAAAATTCCTGGGAAAAAAAGGCCAATAAATTTAAAGCATGTTTTTATAAAGCAGATTGTGATAACACATTGATCATAAGACGAGAAAAATTACAGAACTCTAAACAAACCTGTGAGAATGCATATAAATGATTTGTCTAATTAAAATCCATGATTGATCAGCGATTGAATTTTGAAAGTTAACCAAATTGGCTTTTGT